TGAGAGCATATGCACCAAGACAAATTCCTTGTGTGTCCAATCACACTTGGCCAATAAAAAATTCTATTCTATTCTATTCTATTCTATTCTATTCTATTCTATTCTATTCGATTCGATTCGATTCGATTCGATTCGATTCTAGTGTACATCAAGTTATCTACAAGATGTAGATAACATAATAACTCTGAAATATGATGAACATGAGAATATATGAATAGAATGACTCAAACTATGTGTGTGTTTGTGTGTGTGGTACAAAAATAAAAAATAATCAAAAAAACATGATTTTTTTTTTAAAAAAAAGAAAACTCAGAAAAGAAAAGGAGTAAAAGTGCACAGAATAAAGTAGAAAAAACTAAGAAAGATTGAAAAAGAATGACTTCTGACTTTTTTTGATACAGACATAGATTAAAAACATACACTAAACTCTTACTGTAAAATTAACATTTGTCTACATTATTTTCATACTCTCATACAATTATAATAATCAAATCCAAAAATCAAGTTTTCCTTTTTTCCCTCAATTTCTCACAAAAAGTGCAAAAGTGGTTTCCAAGTAGAAATAAAAATTGTCAACGTCTTTTCTTTCATCAAGACTATCAATTTTGTTGGAAAGCAGAGTATATACCATCATTTTCATTTCATTTCATTTATTAAATTTTTATACCGCCACTCTCCTGAAGGACTCGGGGCGGTGAACAGCCAGGATTAAAAACATACAATATAAACATTAAAATACTTTAAAACATAATTAAATCTATATTGGCTTCCCCCAATTTAAAACCCCTTACCCATAAAATTAACCAATTAAAAATTTTAAGCCAGCCCAGCTTGCTGAAATAAAAAAGTCTTCAGAGCCCGGCGAAAGGTACGGAGGTCTGGGATCAGTCGTATCCCTGGGGGTAGCTCATTCCAGAGGGTGGGTGCCCCCACAGAGAAGGCTCTTCCCCTGGGGGTCGCCAGCCGACATTGCCTGACTGAAGGCACCCTGAGGAGACCCTCTCTGTGGGAGTGTATTGGCCAGTGGGAGGTTATTGGTGGCAGAAGGTGGTCTCGTAAATAACTGGGCCATAAGCCATGGAGCGCTTTGAAGATGAGAACCAATACCTTGAAGCGCACCCGGAAGACCACCGGAAGCCAATGCAGCTCGCACAGGAGAGGTGTTACGTGGGAGCACCATGTCGCCCCCATAAGTACCCGCGCGGCTGCATTCTACATCAGTTGAAGCCTCCGGCTGCTCCTCAAGGGGAGTCCCATGTAGAGAGCATTGCAGTAGTCCAGGCGGGAAGTGATGAGGGCATGAGTGACCATGCATAAGGAGGGAGAAGTAATTAAAAAAAAATTAGATTGTGCAGAAATGAATAGATTAACTATGATGATAAAAGAAAGAGAAGATTCAGAATATTTTAAGATATGGAATCAATTTTACTATTGGTTAGAAAAGAGATATAAATAAGTTTTAAAACGGAGGATCCCAGATCTGTGCATCTTCCGCCGCGCTGTGAAGACCTTTTTATTCCATCAGGCGGGCTTGGCCTAATCTCTTCCCTTTTTTAAATATGTAAATTTTAATCTGTTTTTAAATTATTGGGGTGTTTTAATCTGTCTGGGCCAAAGTGATTTAATTTGATTTTATCTGGTTTTTAAATTTTTAGTATCTATGTATTTTATTGTTTGGCTGTTCACCGCCCTGAGTCCTTCGGGAGTAGGGCAGTATACAAATCAAATAAACTAAACTAAACATAAACTAAAAGAGATTGAAAAAAAATGTTGTAACTAGAATATTATATTAGTGGAAAACTTTTGTAATGGACTTGGTGAGAACGAAGATAGAAGAGATAAGAGAAGGGAAGAAGTTTTTGGAAATAACACCGAACTTCCGTCACATGGAAGAAATGAATGATGTATTAAATGTTTGTTTGTCTTAAAAAAAAAAAAAAAACTTTAAAAAAAAGGCTATCAATTTTGTTATTTCCAATAATTCTCCAGCTTCACTGTCCATTCTTCCATTATAGGTATTTGTAAATCTTTCCATGTTTAAGCATATAAAAGGCTTGCTGCCATTATTATATGTAAACATGAAGTTGTTAAGATGTTTCCATTTGTCTATGAAGCCCAGAAGGAAAGCTCCTGGTTTTAATAATACACTCACTTTTGAAATTTTCTGTTTTAAAATACATATTTTAAAACAGTGCGCGAGCTGCACTGGCTCCCAGTGGTCTTCCAGGTGCGCTTCAAGGTGCTGGTTATCACCTTTAAAGCACTCCATGGCATCGGGCCTAGCTATCTTTGAGACCGCCTGCTGCTACCGACGACCTCCCATCGTCCCGTGCGCTCCCACAGAGAGGACCTCCTCAGGGCGCCATCAGCCAATCAATGTAGGCTGGTGACCCCCAGGGGGAGGGCCTTCTCTGTGGGGGTACCTACCCTCTGGAATCACTTGCCCCCAGAGATAAGGAGAATCCAAGACCTTAGTGCCTTCCGCCGTGCCCTTAAAACCCACTTTTTCCAGCAAGCCGGGCTGGCTTAAGAAGAAATTTTAAATGTTTTAATTGGTTTGTATTTTTAATTTTGGGCCAAATTTATATATATTTTAATTGTTTTTTAATATTTGTATTTTATGTTTTTTAATTCTGGCTGTACACCGCCCTGAGTCCTCAGGGAGAAGGGCGGTATATAAATTTAAAATAAATAAAATTAAATAAAAAATAAATATTAATCCCAACATTTTCTATATGTTATATATGTTGTGGGGAAAATAGGAAGAGGAATATGTTCACCACCTTGAATTATTTGTAAAAATAATAAAATCAGTATATAAATGAATGAATAAATATCCAACAGAGATGAAAAATATACCATTCAACAAATATTTGGAATACATCATTTCATAGAAATTGCCTTTAAGTTTATAATTTAATGTAAATTTCAACCCTTTCTTCCACATATTCTCCCATTGGTACAACTGTATATTATATCCAATTTTTTGATATTTTATCACCCAATCTTCTACTTGTTTGTCCTTTGTTTCCATAGTCAATAAAAGTTTGTCCATCTTAGCAATCATATGATCTACATTTGCCTGGAATTCTACATAAAATCTAATCATATCCTTTTCAAGTTCATTATTCTTCTTGTCCAGCTTAAACCTTTATATTAAGTTAAACTCTCCTTGGATAAATTACAGGAAATCAAAATAGGCTAACCATTTTTGTTTAACTATCATTTCTCTTCTAAAAAAGCCCCCTTGAGGTAACAACCATATAGGGATTTTAGGAAACAATTTTGCCGTTTTCTATTCTATATTCTCTGTATGACACATCTAATAAAATACAGAGTCACTGTGGCTCAGTGGCTTAATGATGCTGGAGATGGCCTCTGCTCCAGTGATTCAAGTCTATTGCATGGCGGGGTAAGCTCCCATCACTCACTTCAGCTTCTGCCCACCTACCAGTTCAAAAGCATGTTCTAGGTGAGTAGATAAATAGGTACACAGGTGAAATCCAGCAGGTTCTGACAGTTTCTGGAGAACCAGTAGTAGAAATTTTGAGTAGTTCAGAGAACCAGCAAATACCACCTCTGGCTGGCCCCAGAGCGGGGTGGAAATGGAGATTTTGCAATATCCTTCCCCCAGGAATGGGGAGGGAATGGGAATTTTGCAATATTCTTCCCCTGCACACCCATCAAGCTACACCACACTCACCAAGCCATGCGCACAGAACCGGTAGTAAAACAATTTGAATTTCACCACTGAATAGGTACCACTTCAGTAGAGAGATGAGCCAGCATTTCATGTGGAATTTGGCCAGCACTGAACCTTCCTGGTTATGACACCTATTTTCCAGGTGGCATGGGTGGAGGGAGAAGGCCTTGGATGCTGCTGCAGGAAAAAGCCTCTCAGCTTTCTTTCTGGTGGGGAGCTAGTTTGGCCTCCTGTGGTGCACCTTGGGAAGCATGAAAGCATGTAACTACAGAGCTGGTAAACAGGCAACCAAACTACTACTCTGCATTAGCATTGTAGTCTCCTGGCTAATATAACAATCATCATCCTCTTTTAACGACCCCATAATCCCTTCTGGGGTGGAGTCTGGGCAATTGAATGCAGCTGAGTGTATACTGGCCAGATGCCCTGCCTGTCGCCAGTGTGGAGTTTTTTTCAGCAGATATATTCTCAGTGTGCCCAGAGAGAGAAATATCTGTCTCTACCTAGGATCGAACTCACAGCCTCCTGAGTGGGAGGTGAGAGCACCACCTCTAGGCCACCACACCACTCTCCTGGCTAATATAACAATGCCATATGCTAAATAAATAAATAAATAAATAAATAAATAAATAAATAAATAAATAAATAAATAAATAAACAAACAAACAAACAAACAAACAAACAAACAAACAAACAATTTTTGAAATCTACATTCACCTTGACTTTGTTGTGACATAAATATATATGATCTCAATCTATATTACATCTTTTCATCCAATATACCATAGTCTAATATATATGACTTTGTCAAAACAACTCAGATGAATTCTGTATTTTACTGCTCAGCTAAAAAAACTTTATGTTCTCACTTATATGAAACAATGTCAAAGTTTCAATAAGCCCACCTCCCCAAACTGTTTGCTGACTTAAGCAAAGGTTTGCAAAGCTCTTTAATGGTAGATCTGACCTTTATTTAAAATACACTTCTGCTCGGCAACATGTTTTGTTGATCTTCTGGGGTTTATTTAAGAGAGATTTCATTGTATACTCAATCTACTGGAAGCAGGAGCATTTAACAGCTGTCTTTAAAAAGATCTGCATAAGACCAGTAATTCAATGTGTATATATTTCTAAACAGAATTAGTAAAAAGGATGATCTGAAATCCAGTGCCCCTTTGTAGCTTACCTTACCTTATAATCACTCCTCTCACTATTTTTGTGTTTAAGAAAATAAAATGTAATGCACTGATCTTACTTGCTGGTTAAAGTTACAGTGGTATAAAGAACATATCTGAAATTGTGTAGCTAAAGCAGAGTTTTTTATTTCTGACATAATTGGGTTGGCTGGATTTTCCTCTTACATGAGATGTTCTTATCTACTTTCTTCATTTGGGAAGTTTTAATTAACCCAAGCATTTTTCCTCCTTATCATCTCTTAATGTTTGTTGCGTTATCTTCTTCTTCTTTTTTAAAGTTAACTACATGTTTTGGCAAAGTTGTTTGAAGTCCTGAATTCTTCTACTTAAGGAAATAATATAGTTACTGTTTTATGTTTCAAGAGAACATTACAACCATACAGAATGTATTTTAGGCCTGAAAATCAAGTCCAGTAAAGCCACTTGAATAAAACTTTGCAAGAGTTGTACACTAAAATAACAACATCGCTGGTAAATTCTTACTATATGTCTAAGAAATGAGGAACAGTGGTAATAAATTTCCTGAAGGGTACAGCTTTTCAGACGTAAATGAGAAGCAAACAAGCCATACTTCCATTTGATTATATCCAGCAAGAAGTAAAAGTCTGCTTTTCATAAGGCATCCAAGCTTGGTCCCCATCAGACATCATCATCCTAAAGGAAGAACAAAGAAAACTTGAATATTCTGATAATAGTTCTGATCAGTGATGGAATTCAATTTCTTTTGCTACTGGTTCTGTGGGTGTGGCTTGCTGACCATGGCAGGGGAAGGATACTGCAAAATCTCCATTCCCTCCCCACTCCTGGGGGAAGAATATTGCAAAATCTCCATTCCCACCCCACTCTGGGGCCAGCCAGAGGTGGTATTTGCCGGTTCTCCGAACTATTCAAAATTTCTGCTACCGGTTCTTCATAACCTGTCAGAACCTACTGGATTTCACCCATGGTTCTGATCCTGTGGAGGAAAAAATCCTCTTTTGGGATTGTTATTAAATCTAAAGTGCACTCTTTGCTTTATTTGGCAAGGTGATATTTGGCAGCTTTCTTTCATAAATGATTTTGAAATATATCAAAAGACAATTTCTCCTTTCTCACTGATAAGGTCATGAAAGATTTGCTGGGTTATGGCTAGCACCAAGAGGCAGGACACTTTTTTTCTGATAGGTTGGGAGGCAAAGGCTACATATTTTTGGCAAAAGAGGGACACAGACCTCAATTCACCTGAAATGTATTGTTTTAACATAAAATCAAAAGCCAATTTAAAAAAAAATGGAGGAAGCAAATCTTTCACTTAAAAAGCAAATATCTGCTACATGTTTCATTTGGTCATTGTGTCTGGTTTATTTGGGGGTTTGTCATTAATCAGTGTTATTCACTGGGCAGTTTTTGTTTTCAAACTTTGGAAAAAATGTAGCAATGCAAATTTATTTCATCTATTAATTATAAAACATATATTGCTACCCATGGAAGGTATCTTAGCAGGTCGCAAACACGAAGCAAAACAAAACAAAAGCATTTTAAAACACTAATTACAAAACTGCCTTAAACTATGTGGTTTGGGGGCTTTTTGGAAAATTCAGCCAAGGGATTAGCCTCTTCAGCTCAGCAGGGAGAGCATTCCAAAGAACTGAAGTGGGTACACAGAAGGCTTAATTCTGGATCACTGAAGTTAATCCCATGGCAACTCAAGGTAAATGTCCTCAGATGATCTCAGTAAATGAGGAGAAGGACACTATATAGAAAGAGGCATTCTCTCCATTAATCCCTGCCCAGTCATATATAGGGCTTCAAAGTATTCATAAACAGCATTTGCATTTCACATGGAAATAAACTGAATGCCAGTGCAATGCTTTTAGCACTGGTGTGATAGAGCCTTTTGGAATTCTTCCAAAGGCCAACCCAGCTGCTGAGTTTTGTACCCATTTCAGTTTCTGGGTTAGACTGAAAGACATCCCCGTGTAGAATACATAAATTGCAGGAAAATTTACGTTTACTAAAAATGGTACAGTGTGCAGCTGGGATTTGTGCTTCAAGAACATTTTGTATTGACATGAAGAACATCACCTCAGTTCATCTGGAGGTCTTGGTGTGCATTTTGGGCCTAAAGTAACTCAAAATGGCAATGATAACATTAAAAATATGTTATGAGCTCTCCTATTAATATTTGGTTAATTGTAAAAGAGTTCTTCAATGTGCTTTGGCATATTTTTATTATTTTCATGGGAAGGTGTATGTGTGTGTGTGGAAATTCCTTTTTTTTTCCTGCCTCTTAACAGAATTTGCAGCCAAGCATTAAAGAAACACAGGCATACAGTTAACCCCTTTTAAATCTAAGAGATTGCCAAGAACACCATTTCAATTTTTGATGAAGAACAAACATTAATAAAACAGATCAAAAAACACGGAAAATTAAAATTTCACCAAAGCATCTCGAAGAAGTTGCAGAAATGTTACAACAGGAAGACGAAGATGAAAAGGTATAAAACATCATTTCTGAGCTGAACTGCATTTAATTAAAAGTAAAATGGCACACCACAGGGCCAATGTTAACTTGCCTCTTAAATACTCTGCAGGATAAATTAATTGACAGTCTATAGGTCCATTATGAGTTAGGAACCTGTTAGATCTCATAAATTAAGCAAGACAGACCAAATCTTTAGGTGATGAAACATCTTTAGTGTCCACTTAAGCAATGGACTGGTATTTAGTATTAATAATGATGGTTGATAAGAAGCAGAATAACTTGCATTTCTTAAACAATCCTTCCAAAGTTGTGCAACCAGCTGTTTTTCAAAGATAGATAAAAAGCTCAACATGAATGTTGTTCTTTTAAGATTATCTTTTTTAAAAAGACTTTTTGGCCCAAATTTACTATAATTTAGGAGAGAGCATTAATGAACATAAGCTAGTAACATGATACAGCTGCTAAAACAAAACAAAGGAAAGGAAAATTAATTCCATTTTAGTCTACACTATCAGTAGTATATTCTCCTGAGCACAAAAACTAATAATTCTACTTGGTCCTATGCTACTCAAGTTATATCTGATGTATCATGTTAGTTCTGAGCACTGCAGTTTAAAAACACAAACCCACTGGATAATGTCCAGAGGAGGGTGGATAGTAAATTGAGGAGGTTATTGCAAGATGAGTGATTGAATAAGCTGAGAATGTTCAGTCTAGAGAAGATTAAGGAGAAACATGAGAGTTATCGTGTTTTTATCATATAAATGATGTTCATTTGATATTTGTGAATATGGAGGACAAAAGTACAAGCAGTAAACTGAAATTATAGGAAAATGTGTTTTCATAGAAATATAAGCAGAAATCTCCTAACATAGGAAAGGGTTTTTTATTCTTCAATGGATAAGAATATCTCCAATATCTATTTCCTACAATTTTCTTTATTATAGCAAAATCCTTATACCTTTAACAATAGCATTAAGGAGCGGAAATGCAATGATAATTTTTCCCATCATAAAGCATGGGAAAAATGTCATTCACAATCACTACATCATCCTAGTGTTTATCCCATTTTTGGAATTATTATGGTTGTAATGAAAAACAGGAAACATATTTCATAAACACACAAATCTATCCCTGAAATGCAGAAACTCTTGGTTGGTAAGGAGAGGGAAGGCAGGGATAGGGAAGGAAAACTGGTGAGCCATCAACACTAGGAAAGGTATGGCTCAGGGGTGGGTTCTACTTACCTTGACTACTGGTTTGCAATGGGAGCACATGTGCTTCTGCGCATGCGCAGATCATGATGACATCTGGGCAGGTGGGTGGAGCCTCCTGCCACTTTTACTACCGGTTCGCAAGAACCGGACCGAACCGGGAGCAATCCACCACTGGCATGGCTCATCTTAAAACTGACTTACTGAAATATAATCCTCCTTAATGTAGCTTGAAAATACAGCTAGTCCTCACTTAGCAACCATTCAAAGTTATGTCTGATCTCCCCAGAGTTCTTTTCAACCTGATTTTGAAGTTCCAATGGCTGTATACACACTGCATGATCACATGGTCATATTTTGGGCACTTGATAATCCTCTCGCATTTACAGACATTTGGTGTGTCCTGCAGTCAATTCCTTCATAAATGTTTTAGATGAAGGAATAGAAGGGGAAATTTGCAGACAACTCTAAACTTGCAGGAATAGCCAACACTTCAGAAGATAGGTTTAAGATCTAGATGGACCTTGATATATTTGAACACTAGGCCTTATCTAACAAAATGAAATTCAGAGGTGAGAAAAGTAAGGTTTTACACTTAGGCAAGAAAAGGCAAATGTACAGGTACATATTAGGAGAAAACTGGTTAAATAGTAGTAACTGTGAGAAGGATCTTGGAGTCCTACTGGACAATCACTTAAATATGAGCCACCAATATGCTGCAGTAGCCAAAAAAGCCAATGTAATCCTAGGTTGCATTAATAGAGAGATAGAATCACGATCATATGAAATATTAGTACCCCTTTATATAGCCTTAGTAAGAGCACACTTAGAATACTGCATCCAGTTTTGGTCACCATATTATAAAAAAGATGTAGAGACTATGGAAAGAGTGCAGTACAGAACAACAATTATGATGAGAGTGCTGGAGGCTACAACATATGAAGAACAGTTGCAGAATTAGGTTTGTCTAGTTTAGTGAAAAAAAGGACTAAGGTGACATGATAGCAGTGCTGCCACAAAGAAGAGGGGTGGGTGGGTTTAACCTATTTTCCAAAGCACCAGAAGGCAAGACAAGAAACAATAGATGGAAACTAATCAAAGACAGATGCAACCTATAACTAAAGAGAAATCTCCTAACAGTGAGAACAATTAAGCTTGCTTTCTGAAGTTGTCGATGCTCCATCACTGGAGGCTTTTAAGAAGAGACTAGACAGCTATTTGTCTTTATTATATTTATGAAATGTAAGGGGACATACATTCATGGATTATCTAAAGGCTTCCCTTTAAATACCAAATAGAACTAGAGCTATTTAGCTTCAATGATTAATCCTTTCTCTTTATCCAAGTCCTACAAAAGCTAGACCATAAACATTCTATGAATACTTCTTCCTACATGTGCATAAGAATAATGCTATGCCATTTCTTAAAATCATATTTTCCCTTCCATTGAAATAAAAACATTATGATCTGACAAGCTACTTCATTTGGTTCTGTTTCCTAACCGGGCTATTTGACATATTTGACAACAAAAGAGTACTTTGGAGAACATGGAGATATGCATGAAACCTGTACATGGTGTCCAACTAGAGAAGGGGTGTCAAACTCATGGCCTATGGGCTGGATGCGTCACAGGCTGGCCATGCCCATCCCTGGTTTAGTAAAGGGAGAAAAAGTCATGATAGGTCACATGACGACAATGTGACTGTAAAGGTTTAGTAAAGGGGGGAAAAGTCATAATAGGTCACATGATGACAATGTGACTGTCAACTCACGAAGCTTCCCTAACCTGCTCCCAAGTTGCCATAGGCAGGAGGATGGGGAACGGAGCCTCACAGCTGCATCAAGGAATTTGCATCCCAGTCAAAACAACACACATCCTAGCCAGCCAAAGCCATCTCCACCAGTAACGACTGGTCGGAGTGATTTCTCCTGCAAAATTCCTGTGACTTCTCTTAACCCGCAAAATTGCTTCGTTGGGGAATGTGACTGATGACTCACCATGGGGGGAGGGGAAAACAGGGTCAGATGCAAGGTGTGAACTGAGTAGGGTCAGAGCGGGCTTCACTTGGTCCATGCCGACATTATGGTCCTAATTAACTACTGGATTTTTCTTCAAACTTTGCTTGAGGCTCTTGCTTTTATTAGGGCATCGGTTGGAACCCTGACAGTGACATCGCGAATTTGACATCCGTGAACTAGAGAGTCCAATGTCAGTAAAATTCTGATCACCAGCCTCAGCAGAGAGAAATATACATATTTAAATTCATTGGTAGGAGTGCCATATCCTAATTGCAAAACTCCAAACAACAATTAGATGGCAGGAAAGAGAGAGAGAGAGAGAGAGAGAGAGAGAGAGAGAGAGAGAGAGAGAATGCTATTCTTTGTTGCCATCTGGTGATTCTATGGATTTTTGCAGCCCAGAATTTTTGCAGCCTAGATCTCATTGGCAAAGGTGATATTTGATGAACTTTATCACCTCCTTTAGATGTTACCCATTCCCAATTTTATAGTAAATGTAAAAGAATCAACAGCCATTTTTCACCCTGCCAGACAGTTTAATCTAACTAAAGAGTTGCTTTGATAGATATTTTACAGACGAATGAAAACAAATGTGATTGTAATTGGCGGTAGAATAAGGGCTGATGAGAATGCCTGAAGGCCTGAAAGGATAAGGATGACAAAGACTTCTCTTTGTGGCATTTTCCCCCCTAGAGCAATAACTGCTCAAGATTTTAGAGGTGTTCCTTTGTTTGAATTACTAGCCTGAAAGGTCATGACTTAAGTTAACACCTCACACCTGGATATGATTACGAATAGAGCGTAAAAAAAGAGGGAGAATGGGAGACATGACTATTTAAAGGTATGTTTAATAATACAATAAAGAAGAAAAGTATATTTTTATTTGAAATCATATAGTATTCATATGAATGCTGCATGTGACACAGGTAGAACTAAGACAGATAAGCTAGTGTGCACTGTTTCTCTCTTACTTAAAAGCATCATGAGAAATCCTTAATTGACTAAATTCTTTGGAGTTGCAGAAGTCAATATCTCTGAGCACATTTGGTGACTATTTATTTGCTGGACTTTCGGCCACTTTGATCGCTAATGAATCTGAGTTGCCTTGTAACATTTATAAGTCAAATTAAAACATGAAGGTATAAAATCAAAATCAAAATATTTCAACATATATTGTTTCTTGATGGTGTGCCATCAAGTCATTTTCAACTTTTAGAAAGAAACTTTAAGAGACATATAGATATATTTAAAATATTTATACGGCTACCCATTTTAAGCAACTCTGGGCAGCTCACTAGATAGATTTTCTCCAGGATGATCTGTTTCCAACCTGGTCCTTCGGGTCTTTTGAAGGCACATCCATCACCATTGTAACTGAATCCATTCTCTTTGCTGCTGGTTGTCATCAGTCTCTTGGGCAGGTCTATTAACAGGATATGTGTGTGTGTGTGTGTGTGCATGTGTGCATGTGTGCATGTGTGTGTGGGGTCCCTGTCAACCAGAGGGCAACAAAAAAGAAATTGGTCCATGGCAACATTAGACTGCACTGAACTCTTTCAAGACAAAAACTAAATCTAACATTAGGTATTTGGTACCCAAATCTCTATTATGTAAGACATGATTGCCATTAAGGCCATGAATCCTGAGATACCCTGGATTTAATGTTACCAGATGGCAGGTTAAAGTCTCCAAGGTCCATCAGCCTCAGGGACTCCAGCAATGGAATCTAGCAGCATAAACAGGATAATGCTTTGCCAGAAGGGTAGTTAGTATATCAACAACAATCCCAAGCAGAATCCCAATCCCAATTTAAACCAGAGAGTTTCACATCTGGCTATCTTGAGGGGGGGGAAGAGTCTCTAAGAGACCTCAACCACACACAGATGAAAATAGCTAAATCTCTCCACCAAATGATTCTTGACTAATGCAAAACCTGAAACACAGGTGGGCCTATTTCAAAAGGAGAAATATCCACTCAAGATACTCCCAGGTTTTGGTTATGCATGCCAAGTTAGCACCCTCATCCATAATCAGATAATGGATGAGTGCAAAGTTATTACATACCAACCTGTCATTCAGCCGTTGGAGCCTGGATTACTCAAAGATACATTGGTGTGTTCCAGGAGTGGGTTCTACTTACCTTTACTACTGGTTCGCAACAGCATGCACAGATCGTCAATTATGATGTCTGGGCAGGTGGGCGGAGCCTTCCGCTGCTTTTACTACTGGTGTGTTCCCAAGAAAGAATACTGAGGGCAAGATGTCAGAATCTCTCTCAATCAATGTTCTTGGCATCCTCAAGTATTCCCATCTTTATGTTATATCTCTTTATAACTCTATAACTCATGGAAGTTTTTTGCTGCCCAGAATCACTTTTGATGAGATGGAAGGGCTGTACAAATTTAATTAATAAATAAAGTGGATGATCAGTACTGAATGAAATATATTGAGATAGTTTGGATTTATACACAGTATGGATGAGGAATGGATTGCAACACAATTATATGAAGGAAGAGTTAATGAATAGAGAGGAAGAGAAAGATTGAGAGACTCATAGTTGGATGGAGTTGATGAAATTCTGAAAAAAAAGTGGGAGGTTTTATAAACAAAAATCAAAGTATAAAGTGGTATGAAGTTGCGATGGAAACAAGAATGGTTTCCAAGAATATAAACATATGGAGAAATATGACAGAGTCGTATTTGTGAAAACTGATTGCAACTTTGTTTCTTTTTTTAAATCCTGTACCACGAGATGAGTGGCATATAAATTTGGTAAATAAATAAAATGAATAAACTATACTCTGAATATTTCTTAAAAGGGAATAGTGTGGTGGATATTCATATGTGCATATTTTCCCAGGAAAAGCTTTAACATTTATATGAGATTTCTTGTATTGTAATCTTCTCAAGAATAAGCTAGCATTCTAGCCTATTTTTGTCAGCTTTCTTACCAGTCCCTGCAGCTGTGTTTTAACAATAGTTTGACTAGCAGGTGGTAATGTTTATTTCCATGCCATGCAAAGTAAATGTTCATGTGCTCATTCTTCATATTTAAGGCTTAGATGCAGAGGCTGGTTGGAGTGCTGACATCCCTGATTGAATGTCAGTTTTGCATCTCTTCTGTTTTGGAACTGAATAAGCTGGACTGACAGCTCCACTTTTTGCTGCTATTCAAATTCTAAGGCTAGCATCCCTGCCTTATCTTGTAATCACCCAACTCATTCACCCAACTTAACACAATATGTGACATGTTCTATTTTATATAAAATATAAGAATCATCAAACATAAAGTTACCATATTTGTGAGAACAATTCTCATACTTTTAATACATTAAAGCAGGGGTGGCTGTCTGGCTGTCTCAGGAATTCTGGGAGTTGTAAAAGGGCCACAGTTGTCCACCCCTGCATTAAAGGCTTTAATTGATTTCTAGTTTATGGTTCCACAAATGATGGTGGTGACTTTTTCTGCTAGAAATTTGTGCTTCAAAATTCCAACTTAGAACTTGATGGAGGGACTAACATAAAGTTTGCTTCTCTTTGCTGCTATTTAGCAGCTCTCTGGATTTTGTAGCACAGTTTTGGTAGTGTAACTTACATTTCAGACATCAGAGATTTTCTATCTGAGTAAATTGATAAATGAAGCCACATGCAGGGGTTAGCTCCAAATTATGAGCTCCTCTAACATTTATACAGCTATATAATAAGAGCCATGGTGGTGCAGTGGTTAGAATGCAGTACTGCAGGCTACTTCTGCCGATTGCCAGCAGTTCGGCAGTTCGATTCTCACCTGGCTCAAGGTTGACTCAACCTTCCATCCTTCCGAGGTTGGGTAAAATGAAGACCCAGTTTGGGTCTTCATTTTGGAAAATATGCTGACTCTGTAAACCACTTAGAGAGGGCTGTAAAGCACTGTGAAGCAGTATATAAGTCTAAGTGCTATTGGTATTGCTATGTGCAAAAATTTATCTCTTTTGAGAAGACTATAATGGTGGAAGAAAGAAGAGGATGAGCAGTAGCAAGACAGATGGATTGGATTACAGCAGTGATTGGTGCAGGCTGGGGACAAATCATCCTGGAAAAGGTCTATCTTTATGGTCGCAGAGAGTTGGCACTAACTTAATGATGTCATCAATCAATTAAATATAAGTATATTTTATATATACCTATATTTAATAATAAATATAGTTTAATAAATAAACTATAGTTATAGTATGAAGAACTGAAAGAAGAATATATGTCTTAAATCACAGGTGTCAAACTCGATTCTGTCCCCTGATGTCATGTGACGTATCACGACTTTTTTGCCTTTGTGGAGCCGGGGTGGGTGTGGCATACACGTGATGCATCTGGCCCATGAGCCACCAGTTTGACACCCCTGTCTTAAATCCTATCCATTAATGAAACACACTGCCTTATTAAGATGTCTGATTGCAGATAAGAATTGGTATGTTTATATGAATGAGTCACCTTGGTCCTACACTGGACAATTTTTCTAGCAATTGTGCAGACAAGAGTGTAAAAGATGTGCTCTTTGATATGAAAAATATATTCAGTTCTGGAGTTCCCTTGTATAATTTATCTTTCATTAAAGTGGATAGAGTGATAAAATTAACAACAAAAAGGGGAAATTAAAAAATAAATGGTGTTTCCCTCTTCTTTCTGTTGGTGGATCCATAAAAAGGGATTTGACTCTGTCTTCAGAATTCTCACCATCCTAGTTTGCACAGCTCATGCAATTATATTGTGTTCGGGAACCCATTACTAATTTTGCATTACTTTTAACATTATAGGTCTCCATAGCAATAGCTGAAACTCTCAATCTTTAAGGCTGAATTCTGAATACATGAAAGTGGGAGTTACTGATTCTAGGGGATAAAGAGAAATGAGCATTGCATGTTTGGGGATCATGTATAGCCTTAAGCAATTTGGTTGTTAGCTTTCGGTTTTCTTGTTATCCATCAACATTACTGTTTTTCTCCTGCTGTGCATCACCGCTGGAACAGAAAAGGAACAATCTTTGTGTCTTGGAAGCTTCTTTAAAAAAATGACTACATCTCAACCACTTCAGCATGACAGTGACAATCCATTCTGGTGCATGGTCCACTGGATGTTTATTAAAGTATTAATGATAGTTCTAAGGACTAAGGTAATCTAATGGGACAAGAGTGGCATCAATATGGCTAAGAGAAAAAAAATATGGAATATCTGCTAGTTGTAGCTTGCGGGAAAACCTTAGCTAAAAGCAATATTCCTTTATTCTATCCTGAAGTGAGAAATTGTGTTTATACATTTATTACTCTCCCAGGAGCTCAGAGTTGTTTTTTCTGAATTATATCCTTACACATAAAGTAGAATTAGGTGAGAATGACTCCCTTAAGGTCCTCCCCTCTGTTTCATGGTCATGGAGGGATTTAAACTGGAGCTATTCCATTTCTAGGGTGCTTCCATGTCAGGGTTTTATTGTGAAATTGCCTCAGTTGAAAAACAATTATTTGTTTTTCAGAGTATGAGGTTTTCTACTTGTATCTAGGGATGTGTGGATCAGAATAAGCTAAGACCATGTTATTACCAGGAATGTTCAGGTAATATTCTGCACCATATTTATTTGCTTATTTATTTATTAGCCAACCATTTTACTACAAGGTAACTCTGTTAATGACTTTTCTGTGTGGAAACATTCTGGAAATTATGGAAAAGGCTCATTGACAGAACTTTTGAATACAATTAGTATTGTGCTGCTTCATTCCCCCCACCCCCCGGCACACACATGTATGGTAAGAGTTCTACAGGTGTTTATTCAAACTTGCCAAACAGGGCCTCAGAAAGCAAACTGCCCCCGCCCCCAATGGTACAGGTCTAAATTCCAAGGTTAATACGACAAGAGTCACTGGGTAATTGGGTCCAATGGGCAAACACAAAATCCAGGAAAGCAGGCCACAAGTCGAATGGGACAGGATGCACAGCATGAGCACACAAAGCATGAACTGAGCATGTTGCTCCAGCAACTTTCAAGTCAGTGGTGGGTTGCCTTTGGTTCGGACCGGTTCGCAAGAACCGGTAGTAAAACCGGCGGGAGGCTCCATCCACTGACCCAGACGTCATCAGAAGTGATCTGTGCATGTGCAGAAGCTTCTGTGCATGTGCAGAAGAGTGTGTCGCATATGAGAGAAGCAAGTGCGCGCGTGCAGGCACAATGCGAACTGGTAGTAAAGGGAAGTAGAACCCACCCCTGATTTAAGTCCTCAGGGCAGGATTAAGTAAGTGATGCTGGTGCAGCCCTTCATGAAAGGCAAGGTTGCCTATTCACGAGTAGTCTAGCTGACCGGTGTTGTGCCTATCTTCTCTCTGCTCTATGATCCTTGGATCAGGAAGAGGCGTGGACTCCACCTCCGCCTCATTGCTAACCTGTCCTAGCCTGAAGCCTCCTGGCCAACTTGCTTGTCCGATGACCCAGCTGAGGCTGCTCCATCAGGCTAGCACTGAGCCCCGATTGTGACAATTACTCTGTTCCGCACTTTCCTCTTCTGACATGCCAAAAAAGTCAGATGAAAGATGAAAAGAAAAATGAGGATATAGAAATACAGAAAAGAAGAAGTTGTACAATTCCATGCAAGGCTGTTTGGATTTTCCTGAGATATGATTGATTGATAGATTGATAAAGGTAAACGTAAAGGTTCCCTAGTACATATGTGCTAGTTGTTCCCAACTCTAGGGGGCAGTGCTCATCTCTGTTTCAAAGCCGAAGAACCAGAGCTGTCCGAAGACGTCTCCATGGTCATGTGGCCAGCATGACACAACACCAAAGATGCATGGAACGCTGTTACCTTCCCACCAAAGGTGGTCCCTAATTTTCTACTTGCATTTTTTACGTGCTTTCGAACTGCTAGGTTGGCAGAAGCTCACTCCGTTACGTGGCACTAGGGATTCAAACCGCTAAACTGCTGACCTTTTGATCAACAAAAAACCTTTTGACCTTCCCGAGAGGTTACACGAGGCTGGCTCCAGAGAATTATAAATACTTTTTTGAGTGAGGGTTTCTTGCCTTCCGCCCTGAAAGAGGTGGTGGTGAGGCCCCTCCTCAAGAAGCCCTCTCTGGACCCAGCTGTATCATGTATCCTGGTCCTATTAGATCTCT